TTTTTTTTTTTGGTGTGTGTGTGTCCTTTTCCTCACGACATGGGCGAGGTCCCAGCATCCGTGGCTCAAGCGATCTGGTGTAAACGACCTCGCCGTGTGATCAAAGGACTCGACGGTGGCAGCGAGTTTCTATGGTGCGGTAGCGTTTCTTAGGGGGATGCCTTGCATGTCATTTGCCAAATCAATGGACATTCTACTCGATGAATGGGGGAGGATGAATGCCGAGCATTGCCACCTTCTCTGTCAGGACGGCTGGCATTTTGGTGTAAGGAAACCATGATCATCAGATATCATCAATCGAAGTGTCAAACCGCTGTGTCTCTGGACCCTGTGAATAAAGAGGCAGACATCACAAAACTTCCAACACATCAAATGTCAGACAAGACATATCAAAGCATCATAAAACATCATACAACGTCACAAGACATCAAAGATCCATAACAAGATCACATTCCAGGCCTCCCCGCCGTCCGCCGTCCCTGCCGTGCTCGACCTCCAGCGACGCCTCACCCCGCTCGACCGACCCGGCCATGCCTGCACGTCGGCCGTCTCGACGGCGCGTGTGGCTCGGCAGAAGGAGGTCGAGTGTGACGTGGCCTCCAACCTAATAGGTCTAATGGCGACGGCCTCCAACCTAATAGCAAAAGGAACCTGGCTGGGTCGCAGGGTTGCCCCAGAACTCACCCTGGTTTGTTGACCAAGGTCATGGTGGTCCATTCTGTTCATTTTCTGCGGTCCACCGTTATGCCCTGACCCGTAGCCATGTCGGGTACAAGGCTGAAGTCAATTCGTAAAGCAGTTGGTCCCTTGAGTCAGGTAGGGAGGTGTTGGGCTTAGATCAAGAATGAAGTCATGCCTGGGTGAAGTCATGTGGGGCAGATAGGCAGACTTAAGACTCTAAGGCAAGGCAAGAAGAATCATGGAAAGGGACATCCGGATTTGAGAGACTCTAGCTATGTATAGCTATTCCTTTGTCAGAGTGAGTTGGACGCGACAGAAATAGGGTTGTCCACTGCCCGTTTCAGCGGACGAGGTGCTGTTGCTGCTGGGATCAGGACGAGGTGTGGCTGTGCTGTGCTAAAGAGCGCCGTCCGAGCTCTTTCATCCAGATGTTGGGGCAGTAATCCCTGGCCCAAAAAGCCTTTGAAGACCAGGTCCCAGCTCCACTTCCCAGATGCCTCCCGTCCGAGCGACGCGGCACACCCGCGCGCCGTCCGGCCACGGGACCCGCAGGACGACGAGGCCTGGAGCGACTCCGACTCCGACGCCTCGTCGACGTACGAGTCAGTGGATGACTCTGCCTGGCCGCTGGGGCTTGGAGAAGGTGGGTGAGACTGTCTTTGACGGATGGTTTTGGACGATCTTTGGGGGGATCGGATGGTTTTAGGATGCGGCAGGTCCATTTTTTTCCGTTTTGGGTGGTGCTGAATCGATAGACGAGGTATGACGAGGTGGACTTGGGGGTGAATTGGAATTGGAGGGTCCCACAGGCTCAGGGTGATGGAGGGTGGCCCCATCTCTCAAGAATGTGGAGGGTGACCAGTGGTGAGTCAGCTGGTCAGTGGGACGAGTATGCAGAGGTAGGAAGCCAAAGCCGCACCCTGAGCTGCATTCCATGGCTGTTGACCCACTCCACACTGGGCTTGGCACCCGTCCACGTCGTGCGTTGACCACCATGCAAACCTGGGTACGGCGCCGACTCCGCGTCCATTGGTGACCCAGGTCGCCCAGCTCAACACTTCCCAACTACACCACTCCCAAAGCGCCCGGAACCCAGATCTGTGCTCAGATCCTCTGCGAGCCTCGAGGAAAGCGCATGGAGTCCTCAGCCTGAAGCATGAGGCTGACTAGACATGACTAGACATGACTAGACTTGAATTCTTGGGATCCGGTTCCTTTTGGAACCCCACACACCTCTTCGGGTTCATACACACGTTTCAGAAACGCCTCTTGAAAACACCTCTTTGGGTTCATGGAGCACCCCAAGAGCTTGGAGCACCTCGATTTCCACACGTTTCTTCACCTCTCCCTCTCCGACGATCTCTACCTGCCGGTCTCGTCTGATGGCGGCGTGCTCCACGTGGCCTCGGACCTCTCTCCCAGGCGGGGGGAGCGGAGTTGCACCCAGTGCCGATGGCCCTCACCTGGGAGATCGTGGTGACATGGCATGGCCCCCAAAAAGACACATCACGAAAGGTAGCCCTTTAGGAGATACCTTGAGTTTGTCTTGCGAAGCAAGTGTCGGCTCGTCCGGGTCTAATAATTGATCGCTCAATTCAACACCCCCCCCCCCCCCCCCCTCCAAATTGTTTTTTCAAAACAGACCCCCCCCCCCCCCGGAGAATTTATTTTTCAATACCGACCTCCCCCCCACCTCTAAATTCAAATTCTCTCCTGGAGAACGTCTTCGTGAGCCTCTCATGATTTCAGGATAGTTGAAACCCTCTTGAACATTCAGAAAGAGTGCATATGAAATTCTAATCACGAAAGGTGTTCCCCGAGGGGATACCTAGAGTTTGTTTTGTGAAGCACGTCAATTCTCTCCTGGGGAACGTCTTCGTGAGCCTCTTATGGTTTCAGGATAGTTCAAATCCTCTGATGCTCCGATTCAATGCTCACCGATGATCTGAGCCATGGGGCAAGTTTGTTTTCCTAAGAATCTTTTTGAACATTTCGAGAGCATATGTTTGAACAAATTTAGAGTGCGTATGAAATTATATTTACGAAAGGTCGCCTCCGAGGGGATAAATCACCATGTCGAACATTGCATTTTTGTTCCTGCCTCTCGCGTTCTTTTCTCTTCCCGCTGTCCTACCTTTCGTGTCTCCCTCCTCTCAAGTTGTTCCTCCCCCAAAAACAGGTGGTGAACTTCACCTATCCATGATGATTGGGAGTGTCACATTTGGCGTTGCCTTTGGAATTCCAAACTCGTCCCTGGGTGCAGCTCCCACAGCCGTTTCAGTTCACCCGCGCCCTCACCCTCGCCCGCACCCGTGCAGCCCGTGCGCCCGCGCCCTGCGTGCGATGTTGCAGACGGGGAGGTATAAGACGAAGATCCCCACCCCGCCCACGGGCTCCGTTTGGATCTTCCAAGGCCCAGACCATGTGAGACGTGGAAACCGGGGGGGGGGGCTGCGAGGGCCAATCGGATTCGAGTGGAGATGCAGGCAGAGGGTGTCCTTCTTAGGATGCCAGGCGGAAGCGGGACATATTTTTGGAGAAAACTGGAGGAAGCCGGTACTTGACTAGCTGGCTAGTTCTTTGTCTTGGCAAAGATCATTGTAATTCATTGTATATTATTGTGCTGATTAGAGATAGGACCAGACAAAGTAGAGCAACTAGAGGGAGTGATGGTGTTGCCGAGCGATGCTGCTCTGACTGAGCACATCCGTTTTGTCCTCTCCTGTCTTTGGCCACACATATGACGCGTGCAACACAACAGAAAATCATCAAACAGTCGATGGAAAGGTATCATGGGACCCAATGATGGGAGAGTTCGGCCCGTTTCGATTGTTTACTGTGGTCAGCAGATTAGGACCGTCAGCAGCTCTGTTTTTTAAGGGTTTCCATAGTTCAGGTGTCCTCCCTGCTCTGGTTCTTTAGAGGATTGAAAGTCTACTTGTGATTGCCTGTATACCTACTATGGCCAACCTCTTTGCCTGTTCCTAACTTTGCCTTGCCTTTTTCCACCACGAGAGCATTGCGACGATCATGATTGACAGGTTTTCCGATGCGTTGTTTGGGTGTTCTCCCTCAGTCCGGACATGCGTTTGATGGGTCCGGAACGGTTCCAGCAAAATGCAGAGGTATCCAGACCTTGATTGGCTTGGCCATTGCTGTGCTCCTGGAGTTCTTCAATGCCGAAGACTTCTTCCAACGCTGCCTACGCTTTGAGGGTGCCAACGGCATGGGCTTGGCCCTGGCAATTTGCGCGCTAGTGTCGCAGTTTGTGATGTTGCCCGCCATGAACGACTTGGTGAAGGCACGTGAAGAGCAGAAAGTGGGGCAGCCCATTCACCATCCGGCACCCAATGAGTTGGCGACAGAAGATTCGACGCACATTAATGAAGTTTTTATGTTATATACTTTTCTCTACCTGGACCTTCAAAAGGGTGCCAATGGAGATCCCTAAGTAGTGTATAGGGTAGTCATGGGTAGTCAATTGGAGACCCCTTTGAAGGTTTATTCATTCATTTTTCTTTTCTTGGTGGGAGTGGGCAGGGTAGTCGCGTTGGTGGGCTTCTCCTTGAGATCACGCCCATGGGCCTCTTCCCCCCCAGCATTTTCAGGGCTATCAGCACACACCTGCTTTGGTTTGATCGGTCGGGCAAGATGCAGGTTTGAGAAGTTTAGTGCCAGATTCAACGAGACCAGGGCACACTCCCCCAAAGCTTCCCAACTCAGAACCCGCGTTCTGGTGGGGTTCTAAGCCTTAGAAGGGTCCTCAAGGGTCCTGCTCCCATGCCCACGATCTTTTCGGGGGGAGGACGGAGGATGTGATCGATCGCCACGGAAGGAGGATGATCGGATCTTATTTCTCTACAAGTTAAGGGCCTTTGAGAACATCGTGGAATGGTTGCCCGTCTTCATCATCCACGCGGTGGCCCTGGTGGCTCTGGGGCAGACCGGCATTTGCGTCGTTTTATGCATTCCCTACACGGCTGGGAAGGTCATGTTCTCGTACGGCTACGGGAGTGGGAACTCCGACAGCCGGGTGCCGGGGCTCATCGTCAGCGACTTCTTCGGGCTGCTGGTCATGCGCGGTATTTGCATCATTGCGCTGGTCCGGCACTGCATGGCCTAGAGAAAAGGAGGTGCAAGGGCTGGGGCACAAGCCATCACCATCACCATGCTGCGGCGCTGTCTCCTCAGAAGGAGAACGCCGACACCTGCTTGTGAGGTGATTTGGAACAGGATGCAAGGCAAAACGTTTTGTCAGAGACTTGGGAGATGCCAATCTTCCGTGGCTTTGCATTAGGGGGAGCGTTCTGAGCACGATCTCAGGCATTTTCGAAGGTCCCGCCATAGAAGAAAAGGGTGAGGACTTGGGAGCCGCGGCATGCCCTGACGTGCACCATGCATACAACATGATATACATGCGGTACATACATACCATACCATACCATACCATACCATACCATTACATTACATTACATTACATTACAATAACTTACATGCATGCTGCGTACATACATACACAGACAGAACCAGAACCAGAACCAGAACCAGACCAGAACCAGAACCAGAACCAGAACCAGACCAGAACCACAACCAGACCAGAACCAGACCAGAACCAGACCACAACCAGACCAGAACCGAACCAGAACCAGACCAGAACCAGACCAGACCAGAACCAGAACCAGAACTAGACCAGAACCAGACCAGAACCAGACCAGACCGACATACAGCAATCTAATTGTTGATTTTTGGCGAGGGTATTTGGATATACTTTTTTTTGTGGTTTTGACGTCTCTCGAACGCGCATGTGTTCTCAGGCGCGTGAGAAAAGAAAGAGAGAGATACAGAGAGAGAGAGAGAGAGAGTGTACCTGTACGCATCATATCTCGAGTGAGTGTGGGTGTGTGGGTTGGGGGTTGGCTTCGGCCCCTATGTAGACTTGGCCCATCTTGGCCCGGTCCATCCCAAGTGCTCAACCGGCTCTTCGGTCCGTGAGGGGTTTGGCGGAATTGACCATGGAGAGGACCCGATGCAGACGGTGGTTTGCCCAAACAAATAGATCATAGAATCATACTTGCAACATTGGCATGAACAGTTTCCATACGAATTTGGGGACCTTCACTGGACTTCTGCCCTTGGTATTTTATATAGGTCTTGACTCTCGACACGTGTGACATCCGAGTATGCTGTAGACATCTGTGGACTATGTGTTTTTGGCCCCACTCCTGCAGCCTGCAGCAGTGACACTTCTTGCGGCCCCCTAGTTTCAAACAGTCAGATTGGGGCATTAAAGTCTGGGGCTGCCACTGGGTTGCTTCCCCGACCCTTTGGAACAGATCGGACAGAAGAATATCATCCCAATTCAGACCAGTTCATCTTCCTCTGAAGGTGTGCAAGCTGACCCCACAACCGCCCGCCAACCGCTCGCCCAACCGCCTGCGCCCAACTCGCTCTTCGCTGCCAAGCTGCGCCCAACCGCTCTTCGCTGAGGGCCTTAGAGTGGGACTCCCTCTTCTTCACGCCTGAGATGTTGGCCACGGGCCCAGGTGCTGGGGTGTTTGTCTGGGCTGGGCGTGAAAACAGCAGCGGTTGGTGGTTGGGGCGGTGGCGGTCCCTGGTACCGCCTTCTTTTGCCAGCACTGTCCCTGCAGCGAAGCATACAGGTCTTTACGTGCTTTTTGGAGCTAAGGCCAAGCCAAAAGAGGGCACTGAGATGAGAGTGAGCTTCATCTCCACTTTCTGTGTGGGCAGGTTCTGCTCCAACCTTTACTCCAGCTGATATATGCGATATATGATATATGCCTCCTTTTTCACAGGGGCTGTGTGGCGGCGCCCCTCGCACCTGCGTGCACAAAGGCCGGTGGAGGACGCACCGAGGATCCACAACCACATGAGCCTACTGATCCCACTGTGGGCCTGTTTTCCCTCAGCAGCACATATAGGTGAGGTGATGTCGCCAGCAGAGACCTCACATCTTAGTCGCCTGGAGGGCGAGGAAGGTGCCCACCAGCTTGTGGCCTTGGCCTTTCTCCGTGGCCGTCCACCTTCTCGCCGCATCCAGCTTTGGAGGCGCGGCGGTTTGGTGCAGGGTTTGCGTTGGATGAGGGGGTTTGGAGAGTTCTTTTTTGTGCGTGCGGTGTGGACGGACGCGGTGAGTAGTGCATTAGTACTTGGGACGTTCATCTCGTTCATGCAAATGAACTCCCAAGCTGTTGTGAAGGGTAGGGTTCCCTCAAAGAGTTCGGGTCCAAAGGTCGTTGGAAGTGCGGCGCATGGGAAGAAAGCCCTCCTGCTTTTGGGGCGGACGCCACTGGGGCGCGCCTCCGCTCTCGACCTTGTTCAAAGTCCTTCTGCGCCTGTCCGCATGAAGTTCCCGCAGCTTTCCAGCTCAAGGGGCCCTTCAGCGGTCGCAGCCGGAAAGGTCGCGGCTCCGTGCCACAGCACCGTGCCACCAGGGCTGGTGCCTGCCCTTTCTTTCGCTGTCTACGGAGCATGCAAGGGGGGGCACGGGAAGATCTGGTCCACTTGAAGCAGGCGCGCGGGGGGCGACCAGCTCTCCAAGGCAGTCTCGACCCCAAGACGGAGCCAACTGCCTGAGTGACCTGCTTTTGGACATCCTCCGGATATGATACGAGTTGGCTGGGCTGCTTGCCCAAGCTGGTTTTGGTTGATCAAGGCCCGAGTGTTTGGCTTAAGCTGGGCTGGTCACTTCTTCCGAAATGTAGCGGGCCTGTGGCAACATAAATGCAGGATATAATCAACCATCGGTACTCAGGACACAAACCTTCCAACATTTCCAGAATTCTGGGCACTCCTTTTCAAAGAGCAGTGGCCCCTTTTGTTGTTCCAAAGTCGCACCTATCTTTGCGGTTCATCCATTAGGTCAAAACCCAATGGATTTTCAGCTTCACCGCGGCCATTCTGCAGGTCGGCAAGGCTTGTGATGCCTGTCGCAAGGATGGCCGCAAGGCGACCCTAGGCAGCAAGGATCCGCAAGGGGGCCAAGGAGGGCAGGGAGGAGGCGATGGCAGACCCAATAGTGCTTGAACGTGTTTTTTGTTGGGCGGGGAGCTTCTATGTCACAGAAGGCGACGCTGGTTCCGAACGCCAGACCCATAGTTGCAGTAGCCTATCGCGCCCGCACCTCAAATTGAATGGGATCAACCTCACGCAGTGCTAATCACCTACAGAGCTCTCCATCTAATTGCAGAGCTCTCCATGTTGGTCTATTGATGCCCTCCGCTATTGCTTTCCATCAACTTCCATCCGAGGAGGGAGGAGCCGCAAACTCCGCCGCTGGACACGCTGAAGGTGGAGAAGGAGCTCTTTTTGTCGCCGCAGGCAGATGCATTGCTCATGAAGGCAGGGAGACCTTGCCCGGACGCGTGTTAGTGAGGTAGTTCGAGAGAAGATGAGAGGAGGACAGCTTGGTGTGTACGGCAACCGTTTGGAGCAAATCTTCCAACTCTTTCAGGAGCACAGTAAGGATGGAGGCCCCTCTTCACGAAGCTCAGCCAACATCAGTCAAGCAAAACGATCCCTTTCCGCCATGTAGAGTCACTGTGAGTAGAGTGGAGGGCGAATGACACCATCTATAGAACATTACAAAACCATCCAAAACCCTTCTCTTCTCGGTCCAACAGACTGACCCAATCAAATGGCCTTGACGGTGAATCCACCAAGGTATCAAGGTTCAGTACGATCCGTCTGCACCAGTTCTCCGTGGCTCCGGACTGCCTTCGTACCTGTCCGGAGCCCGCCGCCGAGGCGCGGGAGCTCTTCGCCACGTCGGTGGCGCTGCCCATCGCCTGGCTGCACCTGGATCCCGACGTGGAGAGCTCGCGCCGGCGGAAGCACGAACGCGTCAAGGAGGGTGCCTGGGACGGAGCGGGGTAGCTGGTGGGGGCGGAGAAGGGGGGAGAAGAGGGGGCAAGAGTGGATCAATGAGACAATGATGCTGAGGTTGTAGAATCGGGCGCTGGGAAACAGGATATGAAGTTTTGGAGCGGAAAAGGTCTGTGGCTACCCAGGATGGTTGCTCTTGTTCTGGTATTCCTGGTATTCGAGACTGATAAGCCCACCACATGCATGGAACTCTCGTTCCACAGCCCGGTCGGCTAGCGTGGCCGGGAAGGATGAAGGGCTTGAAGCCGTTTCATGACCCGAAGTTTCGGCCTGGACGAGCACCCTCCAACACAAATGGAAGTGGAGCTCACCCCCTGTTGAGGCTAACTCCCTGCACAAATAGCATGTTGAGGCCAACTCCTTGCACAAGCCATGCTGTCCCCTTCGACGTTGGAGGGAGGGGTGTGTGGTCCCATGCGGTCAGCGTACCGAGTCGCGTCACGAACAGCGCCTGAGGGGCTGAGTTCGTCTGCCAGTTGCAGCAGCAGTGCCGAAGCAAGCTCCTGGACAGGCGCCGACCTTCGTTGCGAACGCGCGCGCCGAGTCGTGGGATGTGGGAGCAGGTGCCGTGCCTTGGAACCTATGGGGCCACCTGGTTGGATGTGAAAAAGGGCCAAGTTTTGGTTTGTTTTGGATAAGATGATCCTCAAACAGGGAATCAATCAGGGCCACCTTTTGGGTGGAGACGGCCCCACCACGTTTGATGTGGCTTGTGAGTGGAGAATGCCCCACCCCACGGTCCGTGCACGGTTCCTTCTGCATGGAATGACTCCACAGAAGGCACTGGAAGTGCATGCGTCGTTCGGTTCGCGTCCGAATTCGCTCCGGACTCGAGTCGCGATGCCAGGGTCGTTCGTAGCGAAGCTTGTTCCTAGTTGGTAAGGCCAGGAGCCCCGATCGTAGCGTCCTGGATCAGAAATCAGTTGGATGTGTGGGGGGGGGACTGCAGTTCTCATTCGATACGGCCCATGCGCAGATGGCCATGCTGCGCCGTTGGGGAAGGAAGGAGCCGGCCGACCGTTCTTCCAGTGCGAACGGCGTGGAAGAAAGGGGTCCCTTCTTACCGCCGGCCGGGGCCCGAGTGGTGCCGGTTCGCAGGGTTCCTTCTACCCGTGGTGTGTCTTCTACATCAGACTTCCCGGAATCACATTTGTGCAGGAGTACTAGCACCAAGTTGATAGCCTCCTGAGTCTCAGAGTCAGCCCTTCTGTAAGCCCTTTCTTCGGCGACGTTCCTCCAGCCTTCGGCGGAGTCGCGGCTGATACACTCCGAAGGTCCCGAGCGACCGACCCGTCTCGGCGGCTGTGGGGACATCCGCTGGCCGCTGCGATGGCCGATGGCAGGTACTTCCTTTTCTGGTCCTTCTTTGCTGAAGAGGAGTTCTATTTGCCACTTAGAACGCCAAGACACACGCGGTCTGGGACATCTCCACACAAGTGGGTGCTTATTTGGACAATTTTGGACATGGACGGCTTCCCAATTCCCAACATTTCTTGCGTCAAACATGCGTCAGTTGGTCATCCACCTTGGCAGTGGTCGCTTTCGATTGGTTTGATCCTGCCACTTCACCTGATGTAGTGACTATGTCTGGTCCTGCTGGTCGAGCGCGCTCGACCTCTCGATGTTTGGACCTCTCCACCTCCCCCGGCCGACATGAAAAACCACCGGACTTTCACGTCCCAGCAGTCGCAAAGGGATGGTGTTTAGTCCCAGCCAGTGAGTGGATGTTCTGGGCACCCCGACTTCCTCCAAGTTCGGCACCCCGTCTTGTGACTGCAGGTCTCTGGATGTCGCTGTGTCTCACCAGGAACGGGGAGGTAAGCGCAGCTTGCTCCTGCCGAGAGTCCTCCAGCTCGTTTGAGCTTGGAATGCATTGGACCCTTCCACCGTGGACCGAGGCTCTCGTTGCCTTTGCTGTTTTGGTGTGGCGACTACCGCTTTGCGCGGCACATGACCTATGTGGTTTGCTTCGGGCTGGTCTGGGGGAACCTCCTCAAGGACGTCTTCCGCCTGCCACGGCCGAGGAACGTGAAGCAGGAGGTGCGAGACGAAGGGGCGATCGGATCGTCGGTCTTCGAGCTTTCAAAGGTGGCCGTTGAGTCACGAATCATCTATAGCTCCTTATAGAGGTGATGCGGGGTGTCCTTTAGCCTTCCCCCAAACAGATGGACCTCAAAAGGACGACTTGACTTGGTGCAGTGTTCCACAGAAGAGTCACTGCCATCAGTAGCAGCTCTATGTTCTGGGCCGTTTCTGTCCTTCGTATTCCATTTATCTTCCCTTTCGATGCACCCAAAGCTTTGAGCTTAGCTGAAAAAACCTACGCCAGTACCGCACCACCAGAGGGTTTCTAGAAATCCCTGGCTGGGCTCCAAGTCCTCCGTGCCTTTTGCGCCGGCACGTGGCATGCGCCGGCGCATGCATGTGTCGTCGCGTGACCTGCTGTGAGGTCTGGGTACCTCACAGTGCCTCCCAAATCGATTCCACGGCGTGCCGGGACTTCGGCTTCCCCTCCACGCACGCGATGAACTCCGTGAGCAGCTTGGTTGCGATGAAACGAAGGAAGGGCGATTCTGCAGGTCTTTTCCTCCAAGGAGGGAAGGGCTCCAACAACCTACAGAAGCAGGCCCAAGCACTTGCACGGGCTAATTCTTTGGGACAAGTGTACAATGATAGTAATATACATGATTCATGATTGTATATCAAGAAGCAAAATGCAACCTTTGAATGAGGATCATGCCCCTCTCCTTTGGGCAAGGGACAGGTCCTTTGAACTCCGTTGCTTCCGAATTACCAGGTAATTCGCTCTTCGCGGTGCTCTTCTATCTGGAGAATCCACGTATTTCGAGCACCGTGATGGTGCTATGCATGTGCTTTTGGCTCCTTGGCAGCGGATGAGGGTTGCTTGCTGGCGATCCTCTCGCCAACTCTAGACTAGGCAGACTCAGCATACTCAGCGCCACAGAACATTCAGCTAGACTCACGAAGGAAGAAGTCACCGCCACTTCACACGCGCCTCTTCTGGCGCAAGCCAGCCGAAGAGGCGCAAGCTCTTGCCACGCCGTGGTTTGTTACCTTTTCTTTAAAACATGAGGCTCATAGGACCCACCCGAGGATGTCACCACCTCCCAAGGTGTCGACATGCAGTTGGAGGGTGCGCAAGTGGAGGGGTTATATAGATGAGAATGGGTTTCCCTGTGGTAGGTCAGGGGGCGATGTGACAGAGAGAGAGAGAGAGAGAGTGCCTTGCCAATGATTTGCAATGAGGATCTCGTCGATCTCTTTTGCTCGGCTCTACTTGGGGGTTCACTCCCCCATGGACGTCAAGGGTGGCCTAATCTTGGGCTTTGCCATTGCGCTGCTGGCGAAGCCAGCAGAGCTCTGCTTTGCCTTCGACCGCTTCATGTTGCGGACGCCGCACGTGGGACGCTTGGGATGGGCAACCTATGTTGTTTCTTGGGGACCTTTTGTTTGTTGGATTTTGTTGGGGCTTCTTCCTAATCATATAACGGCCCGGGAATGGGCGATCCTTAGGTCCTTTCTGCGTCTTCGTGTTTGCAGAACGCGCGCGCAAGGCGTTTTCTTGATGCGTTTTCTTGACGGTGTTTTCCCTTCAAGAGGTGGGTTCGCTTTTGGCTTAGGGTCCACAAATAATTCATTAGTCCTGTCGGTTGAGCTGCACACCATGTCGGACTGTTTCCACGGCCACATGGCCGCAACCAAAGCCTCACAGTTCACTTGGCCATGTGACCTTCTCTCGGCTGGTTGACAACCATTCTTGGAGAACACCGCCACCAGAACTGCCGCAGTTGTTCCAGCACCCCGCGGCCGCGGCGGGGCCGGCTGAGCACCGGCTGAGTCAGCCGACGTTCCGGTCTCGCCGAGGACTGCTGTTGGTGCTGCTGGTGGTGCTCGTCTTGGTCTTGAACCCCCAGCCTCGTCCCATGACTCCGACCTTTATGCAGACCCTTGGCGACGTCGGTGGGGGTGGAAGGGAGACATAGTGAGACGCGGCCCGCGCGCAGGGTGTGGTCGGATCCCCACAGACGTGGAGGAGCCCAAGATCTCGGATGAAAGGTGGTAGCCAGGCTAGGCGCTGTCCAGCAAGCGGTTCGGGTTTGGGGTGTTTAGTGATAGCCGCATGGAGGTTGAGGGGTGCCCATGAAGCACCCTTGAGGGGCTGCACTACAGACTGTACAGTTCACTTGGACCCTGGCCCTGGCCTACTCGACCAGAAAGATATATCAGTGCAGTAATCATCGAATCGGACATAGGGGGGGTTTGGAGGGGGATGCGGTGAAACAGGATGAAAAGAGGGGGGGCCTATGAAATGAATTAGACCAGGACCTTCGAAGTGACCTCTTTGGAGTCTCTCACTGACCTTTTTAGGGACTAAGTGACCTCATTCTGGGATCTCAAAAGGTCACTTTGAAAGTAGCGGACGATGAGGTTTGAGAACTTGCAGTATGATCCGAACATGAGGTTTCGTCGGCGTCTATGGCTGAAGCTGTAAGGTTTGTCGGCCGTTTTCATAAAAAGCACCGCGGTGCCTCCCAATTGTACGCTGGCCTCCCCAAACCATCCCATTCAATTACCTATACATATCCTTACACCTTATCACATCCCAAACCCTTGTTCCACTCCGAGAATCGAACCGGAGGAACTGCACTCTTTGCGGCCTCATCCTTGGCTGCGCCGTGGGCTTCCGCATGGAGACCGACCGCCGCGCCGCCAGCGGAGCAGCTTCGCTTGAGGAGCCGGCCATGCCGCTGCCGGCTTTGCTGCGGGTGTTGGTGGGTGGCTTGGCGTGGTGGAGGTTGGCGGGAAGGGTTTGGTCTTTTTGACTAGAAGATTGATATGTACATATCCGGATGAGAGAGCACAAGAAAGACTATATATTATGATCTAATATATACATCAATGGGTATGTACACATATACACATGTTACATGTTAATGTTATATTCATGGGCACCTTCCATTGAGCTGGAATCCGCAGAGCTTGATGTCGAGCATGTGGGGCAAGGGTCACGGTGGCTTTGGCGTCGGATCATTCCATGTCAGCTGGAAACGTTGTGAGGTTACTCCATGCTGATGATTGCACGGATGGTGCTGAAACAGCTCTTGAGCAAGCTCCTTGGGCTGTTGGGTTTGGAACCCAACCCCAAGCCTAAGAATCTCAATGGCGAGAGCCTCGGCAGCACATGGGAAGACCAGGCAAACCAGAAACACAGCGCGCGGGCCAAGTACCATACCGACCTCATCAGAACTCCATCGGTGGCTTTGGCCGAAACCCAACAGCATCTGGGGCCCTCTGTAGGCCACAAAAGCGCCTCCCCCACCCCACTCCCAGGAAGCCGGCGATCAAAGGCGCGATGGGAGTGGCAAGAGGGCACGGGTGGTGACCCATGTAGTGATCACTAGCATGTGGAACTGAAGTATCTGGAGAAACTCTTGTTTTCCTGAAGGGCTAGGGGTTGATGCCAGTCTGACTCGCTTGACTCCAAGTGTCCTATTTCTTCTCACTGACAGCCGTGTTGGCTGTACCTCTCACGCGTGCCGACTCGGAGGCTTCGACACATTTTGTCCTGTGAATGCCACATAGTTCAACTGAACATCACTGAACTGAACTGGCCAGTCAGTGACACTTACCACCCCTGACCCCTTCCGCTCTTCACAGCGATCTCTCCTTCTGCCATCTCTCCCTTCCCCAGGCTGGGATCTCTTCGCCGCCGCCTTCATCAAGGCGGAAGATCTGGAATTTCCACTCCTTCTAGGGGGGTCGTAACTGGAAGGTCTTCCAGGAGATTCTCTCCTATTCTCTCCTCCAAACCTGCTCCCGGCATGCTTCGGCTCGCACCACCGGGCGACGTGTGGGTGTGTATTTTCATGAGGGAGATCCCCTGGCCAAATGAGTAGACTGGTCTATTTGGTCCTTCCTCCTGGGATGGTCAATTGCCTGGGATGCTCCCATTTGATATGCACCACCAGCGACCCCCGCGACCCGACTCCCCCGAGTCAGTCTATCCCCAGCAGCCCAGGGTGCAGCGCCGTCGGACGTGGCGCCCAGGTGAGCGTTTACGCCGCGATGGCTTGGACCATCGTCTGCGGAGCGCCCGCCGTCTTCGAGGTGATGAGGATCCCCTGCGCGATGAACGGCTGAGAGACGGTTCAACGAAAAAGGACCGGTGTGTTGCTGCGCGGATGCCTGCTGAGGGAAAATCTATGGGAAGCGGTTTTAAGATGTTTTAAGGAAGAATGGGAGCACTCCCTGCGAAGAGAAGTTGAAACATGCGACGACCCAATCGCCGGGGGAAGTTTTCATTCCATTTGCTGTCACGTCCGACTTATGCCATCCCCTGAACGATGATTTTCAATATAGTTCGACCAGTCCGACACATGCTGAGGGAAGGAGAGGAGGAGAGAAGGACGGAAGCAGACAACAACTACAGGAGAGTAGGGCAGATGGAAGAAAGAAAAGAAAAGACAATTACAAGAAAGAAAGAAAGGAAGGAAGGAAGAGAAGGAAGGAAGGAAGGAAGAAAGAAAGAAAGGAAGGAAGGAAGGAAGAAAGAAAGAAAGAAGGAAGTGGAGAGAATGAGATGGAAGGAAGGAGGGAAAGAAGAGGGAAAGGAGAGGAAAAGGAAAGGAAAGGAGAGGAGAGGAGAGGAGAATGAATTTTTCCTCTCCAACTGTCACACATCAACCGAACCAAGCCCATGGACGACACATCACCCGAACCCAGTCAACCCCACTTGGAGTGAAGGCAGGCCATCCACCTCTGAACGATCCACCGCCGGTCGCCAGGCCGGTCCATTGGGCGAAACACGGCGGGCGCCCATGGTCTGGAGTTTGGAGGAGAGTCCCATGAGCGAGCTGAGGCCACTGGTGGCACTGCAGGCAGATTTCCAGAGGCCACTAGATCTCTTCCAGGCAAACATCATGATCCGGCCTTCCGTGCCGGGGAGTTCGAGTCCTGCGCTTCATCTGGGGCATGGCGCGCCATTCTAGTTGGTGTGTGTGGGTTGGTAAGGATTGACGTGGAGCAGAGTGTGCAGGATCCCTACCTACTGAGAGGCTGCCACGAATCCCGGAAGCACAAGTTCCGATCAACGAGCACCAGGGTAAAGGATCCGTTTGCATCGTCGCTGCAGGCTCGAGCTCCACTTCCGTTGAAGTGGTCGTGCTTGAGCCTCCGCCAGGGTACTCGCTTGGTTGGTTTCATTGACAGTCATTAAGACTTTCGGACATGCCCCTGGTAGCTCCATTGAGGCACCATTTCGGAGGCCATTCGCCCAATGAGTTCTCTCATCAACCCCCGCCAGCACAGCCCACGCGCCGACCGAGGCCCCTCCGGTGAGCCAGGCGCTGACCCGTTCGGGAGGGTAGATGAGATGAACTTGACGCCGTGCGATGAGAAAGAAGTGGGAAGGCCAATATAGTTGAAGTATGTGTGTAAATCATTCTTCAATTCGCTTTGAGTCTGTCTGTTTGGCTGTCTGTACCATAGACAATTATATATCATAAGATATTATATATATATACACCTATTTATTATGGTGAGCGATGAAGCAGCCTCTACTTTGAAAGGAGCCTTCTTGCTGAGAGCAGGTGGAAGCCCGTTTTGAAGAAATCTCCCTTGCACAATGCTGCATCCATGGTTGTGACTGTCCTTCGGAAGAACCCCGACTGCATGGCTAGGAGACCTTCGCAAACCAAGGTCCAGTCATCTCTATTTCGGTTGTTCCTGCAGACCCTCACCTCCGCAGAGGTTGAACAGACACCACTCCCTAAAGTTCGGTGGTTTCGATGGACCTCCATCTAAAAGTCATCTTGGGGTGCCAGTGCCATCGAACCTCTGAAACCAGTAGATCTCCTTGAAGTCTGAAGTAGATCTTCTTGAAGTCTGAAACCAGTAGATCTTTGGCACCAGTAGGTGCCAGTGCCAGTAGAAGTCTGAAGTCTTTGGATGAGATCTTCTTGAGCACCTCATCCACCCGCGCCAGGCGTCGCTCACGCCTCCCCAGAGCGGTGTCCAGGCCGTGTCCGGCGCCACCGGGCGTTTGGGCCTGCACTGGTGGGTGAGGCGCCAAGGCATAGGAGCACCGGAACATGGTTGCACCGTTAGGGGTGGCCTATAGGTAAGTAGGAGTATGTAGGACGTACTGGTTTTGAGCCAATCGCTGAACATTCACGGCTAGTGCCAGTCGAAGGCCAGGTATTCACTTTTAGTGATTCACTCTTGGCACTCATCTGGAGAGCGATCAAGCAACTGACTGGTGAGATCCTGACCACGACTCTTGTACAATCCCTTGAACATGGCACGAGAGCAAACTATGAGGGCCGAGACATGAAAGCGTTCTTGGCAGGCAGTTGCTCAGTTAAGAAGATCCTTAAAGGCGGTAGGCAAATCCTCCTAAAGACGAAACCGGCAGCGACCGGCCCTTTTTCTCTTGGACCAAATTAACTGGTGTATCTGCTGACCTTCGGTCAACCCAACGCATGAACAATCACACCACTGGAGCGCATGCAACAACATCGAACCACTCCAACCTCGGAGAGTCTTTTTTCAACAACAACAACTGGGAAACCTTAGGCCCTTAGGCATGATGTGCCCATGTGCAAACAAGCTCAGTTCGGACATGTTCCGACAAATCATTTGACCAACAAGCTCTGACCTGGTTTGGTGGGAGAACTTTTTAAGGAAAAAACAGCAGCAACTTCCAAGCGAATAGCTCCGTAAGTCGTTTCAATCCCTTCACAGCCTGATGCCTTTAGCGAGAGACATTTCCGAGAAAACATTGTCCGGACGTCGTACGTTTAGCGCTGTGGAAGACGCGGTTCCTCGATCGATCCCGTCAAGAGCAGGTAGGTCTTAAAGTGTGTGTGTTTTCACCTTTACTTTACACAGGTCGGCGACCATTCGAAGGGCACATGTTGATCACAAGATCAACATGCGAAAAGGGCAAGCAGCAACATGGTTTGTGACCTTCTCGTGTAGCACAAACTAAAGTTGAAAGAGGTGTCAACGAAAGTCTGGTTATCTGAGTGGATGACGCCACAGTGGCAGTAGCAACCAGACGTGCAGTGATCTCAGCACGCAAGATGCACTGACCAGGCGCAGAGGCCTGGAGAGGACTCACTTATTGCTTCCGATCGATCGAAGCTAGTGTGACTGCCCAGCAAGATCTCATCGGGGCTAGACCTTCTGGGAGGCCCAAGTTGATCAAGAACAAGGTCCATTCCGCTTGCTTCAACGGATCTTCACCACTTTTGCCACATGGTCGGAACTCGTGTCCTCCAGGCCTCGGGCATGGCCTCGGGCATGGCCTCGGGCATGGCCTCGGGCATGGCACCGCTAGCGGCGCCGCTGGCGCCACAACGGTCCATGGCGAATGTGCCAGCGCCCAGAGAAAGACAGCGCCCAGTGTCTGTGTGGGACGGCCGATAGGCAACCAGACGGCCGATAGACAGCCAGGTCGCACTTGTTCTGGTCCTTCTTCGGATGTTTCTCGGATCTCCTGATCGGCAGGACTACAACTGGTCCCAAGATGTCCGATTTGGCCCTTGGAGAAGATGTTGTTTTTCTCACCCCACAATCGAAGAAATGGGAACGTCTTCTTGCAGGGAGGTCTCAGGGCGAACGTTTTGCCAGAGGGAGGATGTTCGTTGGAGGGGTTGTGAGGTTCAACAAGTTGAGCATATCCCGATATAGTGTCGCAATCCGTTCGAATGTTTGAATCAGACACCACACGCTAGCCACTATCATGGAAAGGACATCCAGGGACTCCAGGGCCGATGCCTCGTTCACATGTGCAACTCGCGCACCCCCCCGCAACCCCTCAAGAAAGCAACCTTTGGGTTGGAGATGGTTGGCTGTGGCTTCTCGAAGCACTGTGACCTGAGTTCGAGAGCTTGCAGATGACGAAGTCCCTCCGCGCCAACGCCCGGGATGCTCGGGTGGGAGCCAGCTTGTCAGGCTTGTCATCCAGCAAACTTGTAGACAGATCGAAGTTGGCCGAGTTGAACCTGTTGGAAACAGAAATCGAACACGTGATCCACCCAGCCCATGACCACTGTGCTCCAACCAGATCGAGGTCTCTGCCCTGCCACCGGACGCCCCAGGCGGAGCGGAGCTTCTCAGGGGTCCAGTGAGAGGGGGTGGTTCAGTGAGAGAGCTAAGGCCCAAAAGAGATACCCCAGAAACTCCCCCAGGCTGCCACTCTGTTTTCGCTCCAACGTAGGCCCCGATGTAATACCCGAACCCTGGGGGGGGTTCGGAGGGCGGTCTGGGTCGGAGGCCTTTTTGGATCTCTTTCGGAGTTCGGAGTTCACCCGATGGGGGTCACCTGGCTGATTCACGGGATCTAAAAGCCAAGGTCTCCAGGCCTCCTTGGTTTGGAATAGCCTTAGGGTGGCAGCACAGGTAGCCTGAAAGCGGTTCCCACACCAATATGTTAAAAATGCAGGATTCCAACGTCGAAGACCAGAGACCCAAGATGTAATTACTGTAAGACTTCTCCCCAAAGATGCCCGCAGATGCATGTCACGTTTGAGAGCCTACGGCTCTTCTCAACCCCTGGTCAGAGCACCTATGACATCCTATGACAGTATGCCACACACGAAGACCGGCGCCTAAAGCGGTAGCTGTATCATGTCAGGGTGTGTCAGGGTGACAGTGATGGACGGACACCCCCGGCTCCTCTCCACGCCAGTCTCCACGCCCACCATGAACACGCAGCTGACGGAGGTGTCTGCCCGGGGCCCCAGCTAGAGGTTTCAGCAGGTCCCGAGTGCTACGCCCCGAGCGCAGCGCAGCGCTCCGCTCGCGCTCGGCTCGTGGCTTGCACCGGGGCCTTTGGCGGTTCGGGTCGCTTCAGACGGTGCGGTCTGCAGCGGTCTGCTCCATGCGGCTCTTCTCGAGCTTCGGAACGTCGGAGGTTGAGAACTGCCACCCCGGTGGCTGAAGGACATCGGAGGACTGGAGCACCTCCCCGTGGTGGTGAAAGAACCCAGACATCCCAAGGAAGGAAGCGGACCGATCTAAGGCCGGAGAAACATGTCAAATGCCAAAAGCTCGCAAACGAATGAAGCCATTCAGACATTCTGTGCTGCCAGATCGGTCTTGAACTAGGAACAGGTTCGACTCCCAGAAGTCTTGGCAGGAAGCATCTCCGTAGCCACGGATCTGTGCCACCGCCGAGACAGGAAAGGGTCTCGGTTGTGACGCGTTTTTTTGTCTCGAATGTGACGCGGAGAGCTTTTCTCAGTTGTGACGCGGAGAGCTTTTCTTTTAGAGAATCTGTGTGCTTCTGGGCCCTTGCTTGGTTCTCATAAAGTCATAAAGCTCCAATCCAGCTCCACACCAATTCCACCAAATGCCACTCTAAACTCTGAAGCCCAACAACCTAATGTCCCACCCCACCCCTAAAGCCCCCCCCCCCCCCCCCCCCAACCCAAATCCCCCCCCCACCCCACCCCCCCACCCAACCTAATGCCCCACCCCTATTCCCCAGAACCTAATGTCCCACCCAACCTAATGCTTGCAATCATATGTGTGCACCCTAGACTTCCAACCACCATAATAGGCATCACCGAACCAACTACAAAACCAGGTCAACCATTTTTTTAATGGTCTTGGAAGTCTAGGGTGCAGCTTCTACTAGAAACCCTTGACAGCCTGAAAAGGGGCTAGGAAGATGACCCCAAGACCGCCCCGTTTTCTGTGCCCCGCCACCGCTTAGATGACGGAGCTTCGCCGGGCCATGCGCCCGTGTGCCCAGAGAGATGAATCTGCATGGACTTAAGGATGGGTCAGGCCCGGGCATGGTGGCCCAGACCCGCAGGATTGTTGGTGTGGATCTTCTGGAGAATCCCACCCCCACAGAAAGTCAACCGGGCGACCTGGCCGTGACACGCGGGCACAGGCGCCCTTTTGGAACATTTTGGAACGTGGTTCCCACCGCCCCTTCCGAGTGTGCCGACCGGTGTGCCGCGGGGGGTGGTTCGAGCCGGAACCACCCCAAGCGGTCTTCAGCCGCGGTCTGAGCTGCCAGCGACGTGTTCGGCAGACATTCGGACCCGCGGAGCCCGAGGTGTGGAGCCCTTTTGGTATTGCCGCTTCCTCAAGAAGTCCCGCAAGGCCCCGCTTCCGTTTCCGCCGAGGGAGGGGCCAGGAGGGTGAGGCGTCAACTCTTGGGGCATGTTGGACTGGGTTAGCCGGCATGAGGAGGGCAGAGGAAAGACGTTGTGAAGTGGGAGGAGTTTGGTAACGCCTGGTCTGGATAACACTCGTCTTTTCAATAGTCGTCTTTTATCTTATCCAGAGCAGGCGAGGGACTGGAGGACCAAAAATTAATAATCCTTATAATTTTTGGGAGACCACGACCACAAAGGGATTTTACTTACAGCAATTTACTTTTCATGATACAATCTTTCATTTAAAATAGATTGTAGGTCATTGGCTAGGTCATTATATATGTATCTTTTATCTTATTTCCTAGCCAATGGCCATCTCTTAACATAAAGAAAATTATACGATGGCCATTGAATCTTTTATAATTAAATAAAGGGCCATCGTCCATGATAAAGATATATATTCTGTAGCCGATGGCCTGATTACCATACAAAAATGACAGGTAATCATCCACTTATATTAAGTGGTTAAAATATAAAGGAATACATCATTAATTTTCAATAAAGTAATAGATAGAAAATTAATGATTCACTATGCAAAATTATCGTATTAATAATCTCTTTTACTTTTGGAGAATTTTGCCTTCATGTACATGAATAATATAATAAAAGTTGACCATGAATACAAATGAATAATATGAAGATGAAATTAATATATTCTGTCCTTTAGGATTAATAGATTTTACAGATTATGTGTCAATATCTTATTTATATTAGTGCGCCAGAGCATATTTTAATCAGAAGTTAATATTTTAATTCACTATCATGCTCACTTATAATTAATAAGCTCTGGCGTGTCCAAAAGTAATAAATAAGAGAAAAGAAGAGTAAATGAAGGTTACACGCCCATTAAATTCATAGAATGAAATCTCAATAATTAATTCTATAATATAATAAACGTGGATGAAGGACATGAAATCTATGGAATAATTAAGAAACACATAATAAAATCCATGAGGATGAAGAATACCTTGATAATAAGAGAATAAGAAATAATAAGAGAGATAATATATGAATGAGTGGGGGAGGGCTTTCATAAACTCGATGAAATACACAACGGAAGCCGCCCCATTTCGGAAGACAGGAGCCTCTAGGCTGTGGGTTTGGAGCCCCCCGACCCATCTGGAAGAATCTGAGAGGCCCCACGTGTTGCTTCCTTGGAAGGATTTCTTGATGTGTGTCTTCCTGTCTCGCGAGGGTCTCGCAGCATTCTTGAATAGTCGTAGCACAAAATAGATCAACATACACAGACATAAATCAACGCTCCTTTCACGTCCCTGTGTCCGCCCCGGCTGCGCCAGTGTTATGACATCAAGAAGTATCGGTGGACGACCAGCGAACCAACCGGCCTGGCGCTCGGGTGCGGGTTCCATGCGCCTCAGTGCATGGCTGCATGTTTTCGTGGCCTCTTCAGCCTCTTCAATCCAGCTTCAGCCGAATTGAACGGCCAATTGAATCGAGTGACCGTGATGGCACAGGTAGGCCACTATGCTCACCAACTGGTTGCCAACTGCACTTTGCATTTCCTATACGCCGGCTGTGTTGCCCCCAATGTTGCAAAGAGACGCAGAGGGACAAAGGGGAGCCGGAGAAAAGGCAGAAAAAGGACGAAGAAGAAAAGAACCAGAACCAGCAGTCACAAAGGGGTGGTGTTTAGTCCCCAAGTGAGTGGATAATGGGCACTCCTAACCTCCATTAAGCACCCCTTTGTGACTGCAGGAAGCAAGAAGAAGAGGAAAGAGCGTGGAATCATGGACCATTGCTCCAATGTGTGTGTGTGTGTGACTCTACCAGCTGTTCCTCAGTCTGTGCCGGCCCCCCCTCAAGCACACCTTCTTTCGCAAAAGCATGCAAAGATGCCAGAAGGAAGAAAGAGAGAGAGAGAGAGAGTGATAGGCCCACTTGTCCTATATCAAGACCCGGGGTCACCTCCGGGTTCTAGGTCTATAACATGGCTATAACTATATATCCTGCGTTCCAGAGAACGAGAGCTCACGGTCTGGGCATGGGATCTGGACCGGGCAAGGTCTCGCCCGTGGAGTGCGGAGCCGCTTGCGTGGGCGCCCAGGGGAGGGCGCAAGATCGAGTGGCAGCAGAGAATGGCGTGTTCCAGTGGCCAAGGACTCGACGACAACAACAACAACTACCGCTGCTGCTGCTCCTGCTGCTGCTGCTGCTTCTACTTCTCTACTACTGCTGCTGCTGTTGCTGCTGCTAACTACTCAGATTTTTGAAAGGCCAGATGCACCGCTGGCAAATCGGTTTGCCTCAAGATGCAGGGAGACTGGTTCTTTGAACGCCTGATGCATCTTGACACTTGGCAGGGGGGAGGAGGAACGCTTCCTTAAGCTTGCGTGAACGCGCCCATCCGGGCCAGTCAGTTCACGCGACGGCCATTCTTGGCTATTTCGGGCAGATCGATCCCTTGGGGATCATAACCGATGACTGGACATGCCCCCTTGAAGACAATCATTTTGAATCAAACCTAATCAAACCTAACTGTCAATCTGTCATAATTCTGTGAACCTTTTTTATGAGTTGACTCCCCTTTTAGTCGCTGGGGATAGGCCTCGGATTTTTTCTTGAACTGAAAGTCGCAAGCCAGCGGTAGAATCTGACGCTTCGGCCTAGGCCATCCAGTCTGAAGTAATCATGCCGGCTGTGCGCATGTTTCCGCAAACCTCGGACACCCAATACCTCGTTAACAGGCCTAACCGTTTTCTTTTTTCCCGCCCATCAGCGCGGTTTCAAGGCCCTTGCCCGACATCCCGCTGCCCGCGTTGATCGCGCGGTCCTTGAAGGCGATGAACCATCGAGGACATGTGGTTTCAACCAGATTTGGGCACATCCAGCACATCCAGTGCTGACACGACTACCTGACTTTCTTGATGTTAAGCCTCACTTGTTGATGAGCAACAAAAAATCCAGGAGGTCTGAGTCAGGCCTAGTGTGCAACATCCGCGGATGACTATAGCAGGTCTTTCCAAACCAAACCCTGCCACCCCTGGTGACCTCCCGGCGCGCCAGGTGCCGGAGGAAACCGCCTTCACCACGGTGGTGCGCCTCTCCGGCGCCGGGCAGAGCCCGGACACGGAGGACGGGACGGGCTGGTTGTGAGTGTTGTAACTATTCTTGTGGGGGGCTAGATCATGATAAAACGACGTCACACTTAGTCTACATCAATAAATCTATAACTTCATATGGTGATCCGAGACGGAATTCCCTTTTGAGCGTGGTGGTGCCAAAAGAGAGCCTTTGGACTTGCAGGGCCTGTGCACCGGGAAGATTCAGAATCGTTTGGCCTTACTAGTGGGTGGTGGGGCTTCTGGCGTGGGTCCCGGGTCACAAGTTTTTGTGAATCACCCAAGCCTGCCATCTGGGACCTTGCTGGTGGTCATTTGCGTGATGAGTGGAGGAACATGACGTGCGCTAGACTATAATACCGATTGGTCCTCTCTTGGCCCTTCGCCCTCTCTTCCCCTCATGTGCAACAAGAACCGCTTGGCACACTTGGTCTATTCACATCAGTGAATAGACCGTCCCAGCAGAGGTTGAAGAACCCTAGTTCGACTATCCTTTAGGTACCCCTGGTGGGGCTTTAGTTCAGGTCACTTCACCTTTGTTGGTCCTGCTCATGTTTGGGATGCTCACTGCAGAGTTGGCTAGCATCCCCCAGAGCCCACGGTACACCTTAAAGGAGGACTTGGCCAGCATCCCAGACTCGCAGCCTGCCCGGGAACCCGGGTGCGCAACCGGAGCAAGCTCACCACTCTTTTTTTTAAAATGGGCTTTTGTGCCAGCTACCCGACGCCTAGGTGAACACAGAAGAACATGGACCGCGGACCGTGTTTGATTCTGTTTTGGGATTCCTTCGGTGCTTTTGGACAGGAGCACGACATGGAAAACACGGCGCCCTCGACCGACCATCTCATGCGAGACAAAGACCACGCCATCCACTCTCCGCCGCGATGGGTTGGCCACGGGGAGAACGACGGACCTCCACGAGGTCATCCTGGTGATGCAAAGCTGCTCGCATGACGCCCCCTACGGGGAGTACTTCCGCATCCAGGAGCACCCGCGATTCAGGGACTTGTTGGGGACGCTGATGGAGTGAGCTAAGGAGAATGCAAAAGAGAGGGGTCTCGGGGTGACTGGTTTGGATTTTGTGAGCCATTCCCTATTCTTTGGCCTTGTTGGTTGAACGGGTGGCCGAGTGCGGCATCTCCCTGTCGCCGAACCCCTTTCACTCTCCGGACCACGGTCCAAACCCTTCGTTCTGGCATGGTCCAGCTGCGGCGCCTCGAGTACACTCTCAAGCAGAGCAGGTTGGGTTCAGTTCGGGAGCTTGCCGGCACCAAAACATAGGAAAACGACCGCAGGAGACCTTGATCTTCTCCAAGGGAAAGCAGGGGACTGACCTGAAGCGTTGGGTTTCAGTGCTCTGGGTGAAGGCGACCCGCACCGCGGCGATCCCGCGGCGTTTCGGAATGGGGGAGGGGTCCGGGATCGGCGCGGAAGGCGTGCGGCGGTGCGGCAGAGGAGCACCGTAGCTGCCCGTAGCTGGTGCGTGGGCAGCTGGCGGGGCCGAGATGGTTTTGGTTTGCTTGGGGACTCCTTGGAGGCCTTTGCCGCTTATGGCCTTATGGCCCGATCCGAAAATAAAGGGACCTATATGTACTAGGTCCGCTGGAACCAAGCACATTGGGAGACCTTGTCAAGTCTGCTCTTCAGCTTCTTCCCTCTGAATATCTCTTGAAACCGCTAGCCAGTGAAGGTTCTCACCTTCCAGCTCTCCATGTTCGGCGTTGAATTGCCCTGCCAGTCGCTGCCCTGGGCCCTGGGCGCGCTGCGGAACATCATCGAGTCGCAGACGATCTCCGACTCTCAAAAGGTCCGGGGTCCGAGGGAGCGGAGCGAGCTGCGTCAGAACCTGGTTCGACGATCACGGCGACGGGTCTCGGTCTCCTGGGTCTCCTGGGTCGGGTCCGGTCGTGGTCTGGGCGCTGAGGGACGTGCGGGCGGAGCCACGGTCTGGGCATGCGACCACACGACGGAGAGAGGGGGCGAGGAGCGGAAGATGGAGCACCAGTCCTCCCCAAACAACAGGGGGCCGTGCGGTTCTTTGGGGCACCGTAAGATGGATGACATGTGGCGGGTGTGGACTGAGCCCTTCGCGCCGGCGGGGGTGGCGGGTTTTTCAGGGATCAAGTGGACTGCAGAACTTCCCCCCCGGTCGAGTCTAGCCTCTATAGAAGGTCGGGGGTCACATGGTTTTACAATGTTTTACTATTTTCACTTTTCAGCTCTTGACCGAGCTCCATCAGCTCGGCCTATAGGCGGGTCTCAGTGGTTTTCCCTCGCCAGGCGCACGATGATTTGGTGAAGTATATCTTGCAGGTGCGTCCGACACGGTGGTGGGTGCCAGGGTGCGCGACCGCGGCAGAGGGGGCAGGACCCTGGGACGGTGGGGCCTCCTACTCGTCGGGGTTTTTTGCGGCTCTCTTTTGTCGGGGTGGGGCCGCACCCGGGTGTCACAGCTGACAGGGGAGGTCTGTGGTGATCTTGGACAAATAGATTCCGAATGAAAGCTGCTGCCAGGTGTTCCAAAACTTTGGTTCATGCGGGACTCATGCACATACATACAGATCATATATTATACGTTATACAATATGCATATGCAGAATTGGAATGATTTCGATTTAAAAGATAGATATGGACAGATACACATTGCATGATCACGCATTGATACCTAGTCTGACCCATGGGCATCAAGGCATTTGACCTATATGACCTGGGTGCTGGATTTCCGCAACCACCCAAGGCTGCAGAGGATGCTCGAGACTGAGGGGGGCCGGTGAAGCTGCTAGGTGCTAGGTGAAGCTGCCAGGTGACCAAGCGGGTGGGTGCCAACAGATGAGAACATACCCTAACTAGACTATACTAGACTGGTAGATATACCCACCATCTTGTGAGACGCATCTACACTCTGCGCACACTCTTACTATATATAGCACTCAGTCTAACCTCTTTGGGGCACTTTTGGGGCACTTGCCGCTTGGAACCGACCACGGCACTGGCGGCCAGTTGACCATCGACTGCGCGGTTTCAGCCTGTAGCCCGAAAACTTGGCTGGTTCAATGGCAAATCCAGCCACGCTGGCGGAAGAATCTTGGGATTCTCGCCCCCCCACTGGACCTTCAAAGGAAGCCCTGTTTGATGGTGGGGGTTGAGCTCCCGGACTCTTCAGCCAGACGATCACTTCGGCCAATGTTCACTTGGATGGGCCAATGCCGGCCAGTATTTGGCGCCAAAACTGTTCGACGGATGAAGCAGAGAGAGTTTTAGAGAGAGAGAGAGAGACAGAGCGAGGACTCGCAGACGCATGGCTGAGTGCGAGCAGTCGAGACCGACGCGAACAATGCGTTCCGTGGGCAGCTGCCAATGATCAAGGGACGCACATGCGGCCAGGCCGCAGTCGAAGCACAGAGCTTCCTTCCATGACCGAACTTAGAAGTCCCCCATCCAGTGGCGGCAAACAGGCCTACTTTCTACGGCGTAAACGGCCGAAATCAAACAAGGAGATTTAAAAGATCCACTTGGAAGAACCAGGCAGAAGAACTTCGAGTTTGACTCCGGGACTCCCGAAGATTTTAATCTAGAACCTGAACGCTTCGATCAGAAAAAGATGTTTTGATATGGAGGGCAGAGCTTCCTGCAGGGGAAGCGACACTTTGATGAATCTTCCGGGTAGTGCACTTGACCAGACGACAGCCCCAGCTCATAGAATCTGTTCAATCACGTCTGCGGACTTCGCCAGCGCATGTGGATTGGGTGGTTTCTTCCACCTGTGGCCGCCTACCATGCGCATGACCACAGCTGTGGCTGGACCAACAAGCAGGTGCCACCGACCGGCGACCGGGGCGGTCCACGGTCGAGGCACCTGGGACACTTCCTTCGACTCGACTCATGTGGAAAATATAATGGAGCGTAATGGAGAGTGACGAAGAACACCCGACCAGCAGTCACAAGACGGGGTGCGATCCATGGAGGTAGGGCGGGGTGCCCAGAACATCCACTCACTGGCTGGGACAAGACACTATAGTGTTTTACAATTCAACTGGGGGAATTCTTGGATCAAAAGCAAACAAGGGCCCCCAGTCAGGGGGTGGTTCATGGACACCCCTTTCACCATCCTTAACCTGTAGATACCAGAATTTTTCGGTGCTACGTATAGTTGAAGGCATCTTTTCAAGGGGTACTGGTGCATCAGTGGTTTTTTCAGTCCAAAGGGAGGCCCCGCAGCAGCACCTTCGGAGCTCGCACCCGCGGGGAAAACGCGTGGGCGGGGCGCCCAGGTGCTTTGGCGGCGCTTGCGGCAGCGCGCGGATGCGGTGTTGGCCGGTGCGACGGCGTGGAGCCGAGAAAGCTGGGTGGATCAGATCGCGGAGGAGCTGGTGAACTGCGCCTTGGTAGAGAATTCAGCGGACGCATGATGGTGGAGCTGAAGCTTCAGATCGGAGGCTTTCTAGCTTCTGTATCTCAGAGACGAAACGAGATGTTTCAGGTGTTTGTTTTTTCACGACTCTCAAGAGTAGGAATTATAGATGATAACGCCACCCAAACAGGTGTTTGAAGTCAAAGGGGTGTCCATGAATCATCCAAAAGTCTGTGGGAAGGGGTGTTTCCTGGAACGTCATTCACAGACTTTGACGATCTTTGACGCAACAATATCAGGACCTACCAGGACCCTCCTGTCGGGGTGCCCTGTCTGGAAGCCTAGGCCGGTAGTGTGGGGTAGTCCAGCCAGGACACCCCGACAGGAGGGTCCAGGTATAGGTCTTGCAGATTTTGGACCCTGCGGACGGTTCTTCTTTTTTTGATAATTGTTTTTTGATGTTTTTTGACCGAGTCCAAAGGGCGCCTCATGTTGATAGCAGAGGCCAAGAGGCCAAGAGGGCCAGGAGATCCCAAACTCCTGGGATGCCTGGAGCCCCACCCAGCCCCAAATCCATTGGTGTCTCTTATTTTTGAGGCGGGGCCATGTCTGTGACGGGGAGGCTTCTAGAAATGATCCGATCTCCGAATGCCGCAGACTCATTTTCAAAAACGAACAGATCAATCCCATAGGTACCCCACTAGGGGTCCTATAAGGTCACTGAACCTCTCTTGGAAGCTGCGTGCTGGCCCTCAATTTCCTCGACGTAACCGGGTTGACTGGGGCTGTTTGGCTCTTTTTGCCGGGGCCCAGCTGTTGAAACCGCTGTTTTTGGAGGCGGTGTTCTTCGGTGTGTCGTCAGGCCCTTTGGGAGTTCATGTCATTGAGCTCTTAGATGCTGAGACCAAGAGTCTGGATCTCAGCAGCGCCTTGGCAGATCAGATCCCGTCAGGAGGTGTCGTCAGGAGTCCTCGGCTCAATCCTGTTGACGGTTCGTCAGGATTCGGCTGAACAGTAGCTGCTTACTCCCCTGCTATTCGGACCACATGGCACCCCAGTTCACCACGGACCGGGTTGGTTTTCGGAACATGGTCGAAACCACCGGTCAATTCTCGGGTTCCCATGTTAGTTTGTGGGAAGAGTACACTCCCTAGAACTAACATGGAAGTGGAGAATGGCCCCGGAAGGAAGACCATTTTCCACTACAAACAGGTGGTTTTCCACTTCCATGTTAATTGCAAGGAGAGTCTCCCATTTGTACGTCCTTTTCAGGTCGACGGTCGGCCCCTGTTGGGTCGACCGAGCAGTCTCGCAGGCCAGCGCCGATGCTGAAGCACCCCGATCGGCGAACTGAAGCACCGACAGTTGACGTCATGTCATGTCAACTGATCCGATCCCATTCACAGCCTCAGGATCGCGACAAATGGGCTTTGGCTTGTACAATGTGGTGAGCCTTTGGAACATCGCCCTCACTGGGTGGCCCACCTTCGGACTCTTACACCGCCTCTGCCGCCGCGCCTTCGCGAACAGCACTGGGACACACCGCCCCGCACGTGGCGCCTTCGTGGTCCGCGCGGCGCAGCGCGCGCGGAGGCGCTACGAGAGCAACGCGAGTCGAGGCGGGAGGGAGCAGGAGTGTGCAGGATCTGAAGCTGAATGGACACTTCTTCTCAGTGGAAGGCTGGCAAAGTGGTGTGCATGATGTGCAATGCTGAATGCTGGTTGCGCCTGGCAGGGCGCGACTCTTTCCCCTAAGTCTCCTTATCCCGGACCGACCGTCCGACGGGCGGACTGGCGAGGGTTTAAGCCGCCGAGCCCGAGCTTTCCCGGTGCGCACCGCGTTTCGAAAGCATGCTGCAGGGGTTTCGGACTTGGAGCTGCTCCATTCTCTGGAGGTCGACTTGAACCAGCTGAGATCCAGTTGGTTCGCACGCTTTGATGGTGGTGGAGCTCCGGTGACGGAGGTGGCCACGCGGTGGCTGGGCTTGGATGCCATGGAGCCCTCGTGCGAGATGTGGGCTGAGCCTGGGTCGGAGTATGGGCACCGCTGGGTGGAAGAGGATGTTCGTCTATTGGACGTCGAGGATTTAAGAATAATAGCTTCTTGTTACTACTAGTAAGGCACTTGTTACTACTAGCGTGGCACTTGTTTCTAATAGCTTCTTGTTACTATATCTATAGACCTTAGATGACCTTAGATCCATTTTTAGTAAAGTTTGTAAGTGGCTTTGCAGTTGGTGGAGCCATCACACGCAACCTCTTGGTCTCTAGTCATTCGACCCGTGCCTTGAGCCTTCAGTGACTCAGTCACTCCCCCCGCCCAGGAGCTCGCCACCTTGCAGCGCCAACTACGGCATCGCTTCGAGCTGCCCTGCGCCTCCGGCGCCCGGCGCCTGGACGGCGCGGTCTGCCCGGGCTGTCGCCTGGCAGCGCAGGGCTTCTGGTTGGACGAGCGCCGCGTGGCGGAGGCCGCGCTGGCGCAGCTGGGTCTGCCCGGTCAGCCGGAGGAGCCGGCCGCCCGGGCGGCGGAACGCCGCGCGCCCGGCGCCTGGGCCACGGCCACGGTGTTGACCTCGGAGGACTTGTTTCGGAGTATCCGCCATGATGGGCAGGGCGGCAGTGAGGATTGGGAGGATGCCACGGCCATCGTGCTGGCCTATGTGGATGCCTTGCGGACGCTGGCCTTCTCGCTCCGCCGGGCCGGACGGCACGGTGCTGCGTCGCTGGGGCCGCTGCTGGTGTTGCTGTCCTTGCGGCAGGGGGAGGCCTTGCCCCAAGAGGCGCGGGAGTCGCTGGAAGCCTTGGAAGAGTCGCCCGGTCGGCAAGTGGGAGAGGCGTTCACCGACCTTCGCTCCTGGGGTGTGGAAGCCAGTGGGCAGTGGCCAACGTACAGCCCCTTTGCCCGTTGACCATTTTTGGTTGAGGGCTGCTATCTATTCTATTCTCATGACCATTGATTGATCCATTTGTGGCCGCTTGCCATGGTGATATGTGCCGACCTAAGATTGATGTTTTGCTACCTCAGACTTGCCAGATATGACCAGCCATCCGGCAGTCAGTGGTCATCCTGAAGGCTCAATCAATCCTCTATTTGCGACCAATCTCATCCTTCAAAATGAACGCCCTCCCTCTCCAAATCCCAGACTCGTAACCTTAACCCAAATCATCCCAAATCTCTGAGGCTTGGATTTGAGCAATTTGAGCCGGCAGGTCGTTTTTTGTTGCCCCAACAAAAGACCCTAACGACCCTCAGGCAGGGGCTGATCCAGCTGCTTCATCTTCCGATACCCCCGCAGCACCTGTGGCCACGCGCCTGGGGCAAGCTTCAGCTTTGGCAGCCTCGAGGTGAAGGATTTCCGCTGCAGGGTTGAGGTTGGTTGAGGTGGTGCTGCGCAAGCAGTGATGGCATGATGGGCTTCCGACGCCCGAGGTCTTCGTGGGCGGGGGGGGGTGGTCCTCTGAGGCGACCCCCTTGACATGCTGAAGCAGGTACCCTTCGTCATCGAAGCAGGTTCCACATGGAAGTCGAACATGGCCTTTTGGCAAGACGATTGGTCCTCGCACCATCCATGGGACTGGCCTATTGACATCAAGGTAGGCATCTATTCCATACATGGATGGTTTGGCAGTCTGGGTCTGCAAGCAGGGTGGTGGTCCACTTCCATGTGATGTGTTCGTCGGAGGCGTGAAACGTATGTGTTGAATCCGCGAGCCGTAGGCGCCCAAGCATGACATAGCAAGGGACGCTCTTCATGGCAGGTTTCAAGGTCAAGCAGCATGTCAAGTGACCAGCGCCTAATTGCCTGACCGTCCTGACCACTTTGGCAGTGCCATTTGGGTCGCCTGACCGTCCTGCGACCCTCGCAGACCACCTTCTTTTCGGGATCTTGGCCCTTGTCCCATCTCGTTCTCAGGCATCGAACCCGACTGTCCTTGCGGGGGTCTTTTCCAACCAAACGACCGCCGCTGATCGCGCCACGGCGGCCCCCCACGGCGCAGGCTACGACCTGGTCCTCTACCTGGACGCTGACATCCTGGTGCTCGACGACCTCACCAGCCTCTTCCGCGCCGCCGCGGAGGGCGTGGACGCGGCGGCGGCGCTGACCCGATCGATGATGGGCTTGAACGGCGGGGTGATGTTGTTGCGGCCGTGGCTGTGGTTGCAATGGGAGACCGGAGATCATCGGTGGTGAGGGGTGTGCTTTGGAAGAGGGGGGACATCCAAGCCGCCCAAGCAAGGGTTTTTTTTGGTCGATTTTGCTGCTTCCGAACTGGGAGGCCTCAATACACACCCCATGATGCATAAGGGCTATCATTTTGCCATCTATATATAATGATCTATACACATATATATATATATATATACTAGCCTCAAATTGGAATAGATAGGAAATATCCACCCCCAGTGTCCGATATTTTTGGCCAAACATGCATCCACTATTTGACAAGAAACACTGACTGAAGCTGCTTTTTAAGATTTGTCCCGTCCGTGCGGAACCGACCAATTTTTGTCTCACGTGGGAACTCAATCCCGCGTGAGACTCCCAGCACGTCAATTCTCCAGCACGCAATATTCCTCTTCAAGACTTTAGGGCCGAAGATCTCACAAATTCATCAATGCTGAACCACTCTAGAGATCTTGATATATCTTGATCAGGTTCATTGGATTCATTGGCCCTCACCGCAAAATCATTTTCGAAGGGCATAGACCTTCTGAGAGTGAGTTTGATGAGATTTGGCCAAGTCATGTGACATAGTAAGGACACCAGGTGGTACATGGTTTGGTGTTACAGGAGTTCTTTCATAAATAGGCAGATCTCGGGCTGAAGCTCGGCTTGAGACGACTTGCTGGTGAGCAGGGATCGGGTCCAAGGAGCTGATGATGAGGTGCTCAAACCCTATAGCCTATAGGCATCTATAGGCTATATAGATCTTGGGTCTGTCCCATTACCTGTAACCGTCAGTTTAAACAACATGTACTCTTTTGCAAATGTCGGCCTTGCAACTGAACCATCATCATCCGCTGTTCGGCCCTGGTAATAGGATAGATAGACCGGACCCGATTCACATGCCCGATCGTTGGAGACACGACTGGTGGAGGCGACTCAAGGCGACTCGAAGGACCCTCTGAGAAGGTCATGGTGGACCAGGTTCTGCTTGAAACGCTTTTCAACGTCTCACGTTTGAAGTTCCACAGATGACGGATTGACTTGTCCAAGCATCACGAGGATTCACCATGACGGTCTAGCAATGACTGATACGCAGGACATCTGAATCACATCCTAGAGTTCCAACAATAACCAAGGTATTTTTCATGGACCACTGGTGGCTGGGACACCCATCCAGCGCCATCTGACCAGATGAGTGTACGCGAGGGTCGGGGCACGGTGTCTCGGGCTGAGTGGGCACGGTGTCTCGTTCAGGTCCAGCCACATCTTCCATGCGCTGCGCGCATCCCTGGAAGAGCTCCCCAGTTGGAAAGGCGAACGCACGAGACGAATGCACGACCCCGCTGGAGCAGAGTCGACCAACATGGCCGGAATTCGATGAATTTGATGTGGACACCCTTAAGCAACCCTTTGAACATTCTGATGTGCCACGAAATGCCTGCATTAATTAATTCCCCCTATAGAGCCAGAAGATCGGCTTGCCGACTTGTACTGAAACAACTTGCTGTTGGACTGGTGCTGTTAGCGTGCCTCTCGACTGGTGCTGTTGGACTTGAGACCAGGGTTGCCAGACCTGATCAGCGACCTGATCCTCACATCTCCTCACCAACCAAGCTCCAAAGCAGGAATTGACCATGGCTGCCATTGGCTTCGGCCTGAGGTCCACCTTCTAGACAGCTCTGGGACCAACTCCCCAGCCGGTGGTATACCAAAGGGATCCCGCAGAAGGGAACCGATCAACCACGCTCACCCGGTCGTTCTTCCGACCTGTCTTTCTTCCGGTCGTTCACCCGTCCACCATCGCTCCACCCGTCCCCCATCGCTCCTTTTCGCCAGGGCTCTCGAGGTGGACAGGGCGGCCCTGGTGGAACACGCCTCCTGAGACGTCCAATGGCTCCGACTTTGGGTCGTACGGAGACCAGGATCACCTGACGCTCGGAGAGACCGACCTGGGGTGGGAGGTGACCGGTGGGGGGGGCCGGTCGAAAAGGTCGTCCCATCCGCCGTGGAGGTGACATGGGCACCCCGAGCTCCTCCGTAAGTTCAGCGCCCCGAGCTTGCGAGCTCTGTGACTCCTGGTGATGAACATGAGGTCATCTCAGTCATGACTGGTGGATGAAGAACGAGGACGGTGACCGGGCTGCTGGGCAGATCCAAACGGCCAAAACCCTCGGGTGATCCAAAGAACGCATGGTCCGCAAAAGGTGCCGCATGTCATGGTTCTTCGCGCCGAATCGTGTTGAGCCCAGGCGGTTCCGGAAATGGATGGAAACGGACCATCCTCGTGCACACTCCAGGAGAGAAAACAAAGTGCCTTTCAAAGGCACTTTGTTTTCTCTTTTGGAGTGTGCACGAGGAATCAGTGAAGAAGAATCAAGATATCACATTGATCCGCCCAATGTTTCTAGGGGATCGAGTTCGGCCCAGCCCTTCAGCTTCGGAAGCTTTTTTAGGATCCATTAGGTCGGGGATATAGATGAGGCGGTCTTGGTGAAGAGCTGCTGGGGTGGGAACTCCTGAGCGGCTCCGGTGGTTCCGGTGGTTCCTGAGCTGCTGGTGGACCCCTCCACCGTGGAGGTCCGACAGCTTGGTGGTCGCCCCTGGGAGAGGCAGAAGAAGTGGGAGTCTTGGAGGGTGCTTCTGCGTGCCTGCTTGCTCATGGTTTGCCTTGTTCCCCACATTGTTGTGTGGGGCTTTTATGGGTTTTTGTTTTGAATGCTGTATCCGCTTCCTTCTGCCTTCGCCTCCGCTCCCGCCGCCTCCTCCTCTAAATAACACAGATTGAATAACATACAACACACAAAACACACAACACACAACACATTGATAACATACAACACACAAATACAACATACAACACACAACAACCAACACACAACACACAACACAGAACACGCAACACACAAACACACAAAACACACAACATACAACATACAACACACAACAACCAACGTTCTTTTTACAATCCCATATGGCCATGAATTTCAGAAGCACCACCACCACCACCACCACCACCACCGCAACCATCATCATCATCATCATCATCATCATCATCATCATCAGCATCAGCATCAGCATCAGCATCATCATCATCATCATCATCATCATCATCATCATCATCATCATCA